GTGTCTTTCAGGCGGCAACGGGTGTGGGGTGGCTGCGGGAGCCACTGTCCGCTCCTGGGAACAACTTCTAGGAGTGTTTCTCCTGGCTGTGTGCATTTCAGCTCAGAGAGAAGGTTCCAGACGTGCTCCGTAACTGTGCCATCTCAGCCCTGCCCACGTTCATTTCCACGTTTCAACTGCAGATGTTCCTCCTCCGGCTCGACTTCCTGAGCCATGACCAACCTGGGCCCAGCTGTGCACAGCGGGGACACGAGTGCCCTGCAAGGCTGGAAGCCTAAGGCCGCCTGTGGGTTCTGATCCCTAAGTCAGCCTGAAAAACACACCAGATGTCCATGTAGGCTCCCATGTGTCTGAGGGGCTGGAGGGCTGGGGGAAAGGGCTCACAGTGTCACTAGACCCTGTTGGGCTAGCCTGTCCCTCTCTTTGTCTCTACACACACACATATGCTAGCATTAAAAATAATTACCAACTAGAATCTGAGAACTTGGGGACTAGTAACTGATGTGGTGGTTAAGGCAGTGGACATTCCTACATAGCCTACAGCGGTTCAAATCCTGAATCTGATGGCTTGCTTTCTTGCTTTCTTTCTCTCTCTGTGTGTTTCTCTCTGGTCAAATTAAATGAATGAATAAATAAAATGAAATAATTCTTTTAAGAAAAGAATCTGAGAACTTGTTTCTGGGGGCTTAGATCCGTATGAGCCATAGGAAAGACCACGCCCATCCCTGTAATTTACAGACGAGGGCTCTAAGATGTAAAGTGACCGAGATTTTCTGATGGTCTGGGATGGCCAGGTCACTGCAACTGGAGTTACAACCCAGGGCTCCTGAACCCCCACCGTGCGGGCACCCAGGGCTCCTGAACCCCCACCGTGCGGGCTCCCAGGGCTCCTGAACCCCCACCGTGCAGGCTCCCAGGGCTCCCGAACTCCCACCATGTGGGCTCCACCTCTGGATTACCTGCCGAGTCCCTGGCCCCAGCGCACTGCCCTGGCTGGGCCCACACTGCTGCCCTTGCCTAGGGACTTCCACCCTGTGAGCCACCATGGCGGTACCTTCAGGGGACACATTTTGCTCATTAGGGAGGCACCTCCAAACCAGAGACAGCTGCAGTTTTACTCAGAAGGGAGCGAATATCTCCAAGTCACCCAAACCCGAACATACAAACTCCATTTTTTCAATCTTTTTTTTTTTTTTTAAAGTGAGCTCTCTTAATTTTTTAATTTAAGGGTTTTGCCATAGGGCCTGTATTCTTGCAGGAGAGAGACAGAGACAAAGTGGGAAATCACCCCCAGAGGGGATGGCCACACCATAATCCCTTCTCCTCTATTTTCCTTCTGGGACTTTGGGTACACACACATGTGCCCAGCATGAGATTAAAACAGACAGACAAACAAAGACATGCTATGAGAACTTGTGAAAATTCTGTTGTGAAGTCATGCCCCAGTGCAGAAGGGTTTTCGCAGGTAAGGTACCTGACCAGGGGAACAGTGAGATCCTAGCCCAGCCAAGGAAAGTATTGGCATTCTTTTAGACTCTGTGGCTAATCCAAAAGAAAATTCTTTTTAGGGTGGTATAGCTGTCATTGTCACCCCGGTGAAGGCCCACCACAGTGACCCTTAATTTCCCATTGCTGTTTTGAATATCCTCTTAATAGATCAGTCAAGGGTTGGTGAAGTGTGAGAAAAGCATCTCAGCTCTGGCTCTGGAGGAGGGTGTTTGGGTTGCTAAGTGAGAGGTGAAGGGTCACCAGGGGACCTTGGTCTGACTTCTAAGGCCATCTCCCCACATTGGGTCCAGAAATGGCCGTGAGTCACTTTGCTCCTGAGGAAGCGAAATTTGTCCAGTCACTTTATAGTGATCAAAGGGTCTAAGCAGAGGTCATTGTAGTGTGTTAGCACGGGTAGGTGTCGGAGGGCATCATGGGAAGGAGCAGAGGGGGACAGGCTACTGTGCAGTCTTGGCTCCCACCCCAGCAATGCCACCAGCAGGGGGTGTGCTGTGGGGCCAAGATTCTGAGCTCTGTGCTCACGCTCTGGGTGGGTCAGATGCCTGCAGGGCCCCAGCCCCCGCTTTGCAGAACGTTCTGATAGGACACTTGTGGCTCAGCTCGGGGATGAGTGCAGGGCGATCTTGGCACCCTCCTTTCCCTCCTTCCTGGTACTGCGGCCCCGGTCCTGAGGCCCTGCGCTGTTTGACTCGGTGGTGAGTCACACGCGGGAGGGGACAGGCCCTGATGCTCTGTAGCTTCTCAGATTTTAATGTAAATACGCGTCCCATGTGAGCGTCTACTCATAGATTCCAATTCGAAGTCTGAGGTGATGTCGGGATTGCATTTCTGGTGGGTCTGGTGCTGCAGCTGCTGCAGCTGCTGCAGCTGCTGCTGTGCCCGGTGCACTGTGGGTAGGAAACAGGTAAGGGGGAAGGGCCGCGGGTTCTCGACAGGGTCCTTGCCCTGTTGTAATAACGCCCTCTCTGGGCTCTGCACGCACTGCCCCTTTCTTAGGGATCAAAATATGGGCGGCTTCAAGCAGTTCATGGAAAAGTGGGTTTCAAGTACTAGTTGATTTTGGTGCAGTTTTGAAGCTCGGGGAGTTTGCTCACAGGTGTTTGTGCTGTGAGCTTCCTGCAGACTCCATACTTGGTGTGCTTCGGGTGGAAAGGAGAATCAAGCTGGAGGGGAAGTTACGAAGCCGAAGCTGGGGGCTGACCTGCTAACCCACTCCCTGGGTTTCCTTCTTGTCCCAGAACTTAAGGGTTGATGTCCCCTCTTAGTCTCTGCTTATTCTAGGAACTCCTAGATCTTCCCCCGACCCCCACCTCTGGCAGTCTAAACTTTCTAGCCCAGAGCCTGACCCAGCAGGAGTTGCTGGAGTTGGCCAGCTGGCGGGGTGTACCTGGACAGAAAAAGTGTCATGGGAATTGGACCCTGAATGGGGACTTTCATGCTCCATTTGCTCACATCTGGGTAGCTTCAAACTCAGGT